CTTGCACTTTGCTTCTACGTCCTTCAACTTCACCTCTGCCTCCTCGTGTATCACCTTCATCTGCACCTCACACTGTTTCTTTGAGCTTTCGATCGAACTCTCCAACTGTTTGATCCATGTCCCTTCCACAGTGAGGGAATTCTCCAGTGTTCTGATATGGATACCACCCTCCTGTCGTCCATCCTCCAACATTTTGATCTGTTGGTCGCTGTAGATCCAAACTCGCTCATTGTGGGCATGAGCTTCCCGAAGGTGGCTTAAATGCTCCTGGTTGTCCTTCAAGTTTTGCTGTATCATCTTCTGCTGACGGATGTCATCTGCACGGTCGCGGTTCCATACCCTCATTTCTTCAGATACTTGTTGCTGGTTTTGAACGATAGCATCCATTGATGCCTTCAATGTGGTGAGTTCATTGTCTCGCACTGATTGTGCTCGCCTATCCTCCTCTCATGCTCGCCTCACTTCTGTCAAATTCTGGTCGAGTGTACATATTAGAAATAGGAGCTCCTGAGTCCTGTCATAGTCAGGACTGCTCATGCTATTGGGCATCAATGCCACATGCTGCGAGGGAGCTTTGGAACTGTCAAGCTGTTGTGAAGGAACGATTGCATGTATGCGGTCTATCGGTCCACATAGATCGCCAAGGATTGTAGCATTGTTTTCTAGTAAGGTGGAGCCATGTGTGTCTGGAAATAATGTAAATGAACAACATCAATAGAATAACAGAGCTTACTTGAAGATAAGATAATTGACGTAAGATCAGAGTGGACTTGGTCTTCATACCATTCACGCTGAAATTTCTGCTTGATACGTTGCTGGATGTTCATGCACAGGGCCCCCAGGGAAATTGTATTGGGAACTTTATAAAAATAAGAAGAATACCTCTCGACATAGAATGAGTTTACAGAAATTTGAGAGACCATAATTGAATCGATTGGTGAAGTTGCGGAGGGCCAGAGGGCAATTGAATACTTGGTCAATGAACGTGAGCAGTGAGCATTTGGCAGTGACTCTCAAGTGACTCTTAATAATACTTTGCACAAGTAATACCACGACCAACGTCAACTATTGTATTTTGGCACAATCACCGCCTTGAATAGGTTCATACCCATGCATGTGTATGTTACATCCAATCTATTACTGGAAAAGACACATTACTTCCAGTACATAGGTAAGCTTCTGGTCTTCATATGGACACAACATCCAAAGAAATATTTGACTTTTATCAAGGCCATGTTCGTGTCACGCACACCTGCGCTATTGTTCTTGTACATCTACTTGATGCCATTCCTAGACGCCTTCATCGTGAATATCTTCACCGTCGCTCTCTTCCGCCGGTGTCATTGACATGGGTACGTTGCTGCATGTACGTCCTTTCGAGCTCCTCAAATACCTCACACTCAAGGACTTTGACTGTGCTCATTTTGACATCTAGCTGTCTCCTTGTTAGCTTATCGAAACATCTCTTTGCTCTCGCAATTAGTCGCATTGAGCATTGTCATGTCACGTGACTCGCAGCACGCTACTCAAGCTTCATAGCTTCCATTCAGCGTGTAGATCTTTTTTGTTTTCTGGAGCCTTCAGCACCTGTATTTTGGCTCTCGGCTAAAGATGAACATCAACTGAAGCCCCTCCCCTTCTGGCGAAATTTGTATCACGCTGCTTGAGATAATAATTTTAGTTTTATTCGCTAACATCATTTTGACAAAAGGCCAAAGCTCATCATAGCAGTCGCCATATTGCAGTGGTGACGGACAAAACTCAGAGGTGATTGTCACAATCACAATCACAACGCGTCACAACAAATAACTGACCAACACCTTCGCCAACATCTTACCATTACACAATCTGATAGTAACCACTAGTACGATGATGTATTCAGTAAGTGCTTTCATATCTACTCTGATATAAGACTGAAGGTGCATAGATTGTTGCTTCATTGGACTCCATGGACGTTGACCACGACAAATGTGAAGGGGAGGGGACTCACCTAGTAAGTGTAATGCGTACTTTAGTCCATTTTTTTAACATTTGTTCATTGTAGGAACCGATGGACATTGACCACGACGAACACAAAGGGGAGGATGTCGCAAACAACACTCAACCGGTATGTAAAGATATCTATCTATCTATCCATTTCTTACATTCTTTCATTGCAGGAAAACTACATGATCGTCGATGATGATGAGGCCGGTGGGGAGGATGCGATGGATGTTGAAAGATTATAGATAAGTGATAACTTTGATTCGGACAACAACAAACAACACTCGCTTACATAATACGCTATGCGCTCATTAGAAGTTTTATATTACTTAGCACCTCAGTCTTCGACTATTGAGACTGAGGTATGATATTATTTATTTAGACTCTTTACTACGATACTGACTACTACTCTAGTACTTACTACTTTCGTTTATAGGTCAGCTAGTAGTCTCCCAGTCTTCGACTATTGAGACTGAGTACTTACTACTTTCGTTTATAGAATTCTTTCTGTCATTCTTTCGTCTGTCGCATCCTCGAACAAAAGGTTATGAGCCCTGGTGCTTAGAATCAATCCAGTACCACAAAGGAACATCAACCGAAACAAGAATTAAATGTCGAACACACCCTCAGTGTCTGCAGCCCAGTCAGGTGCAGCTGCTTCATCCTCGAACATCCCTTCCATATCATCCAGTTCTACATCTACAAGCAGAACTGCACAAGCCTCAAATCGTCTATATGATATTCCATCCCTCGAAAACGACGGTTCAAACTTCCAACTATGGAAGTACCGTGTCGAGTTAATCCTTGACCTTCGAGGACTATGGGGAATTGTTGAAGGAAGTGAAAAGATGCCAGATAGCACAACGCACCCTGTTCAACACCAGGAATGGTTAGCAAGGAACAAGGAAGCACGAGCTCAGATAGCTCTCACGCTGAAAGATGATCCCTTGAATGGGATACTCTATGTGCCAATAGCTAAAGATGCCTGGAAGAAGCTCTGTGAGCGATACGAGGGTAGAGGAAAGCAAACAATTGCTCAACTCATTGGCAAATTGTTTCGAAGTACCTTGACGGACGAATCTCCTATGGAAACGCAGCTAAACACCATGCGACAGAAGGCATTCATACTGTCCTCGCTTGGTCAGCCGCTCGACGATTCACTGGTCGCAGTTGCGATGGTGATATCCTTACCTTCATCCTATGCCACCCTTCGAACGATCCTAATGTCCAGTAGTGACAAACTCACCACCGAAACTGTTATAGCCCAAGTGCTGGTAGAGGAAAGGCAACGACAGGCTAGCAATAGCCAATCTGCGCTCGTTGCGAAGGGACCTGCGCAAAAGAATAAGCCTAAGCGCAAGGATAAGGACAAGAAGAAGTCAAAGGAAAAGTGCACATACTGCCACATTTCTGGACATGAGGAGAAGGACTGTCGAAAGAAGAAAGCTGCTGAAGACGCTGAAAAGAGTGGGAAGCAGGTGGACAAAGACAAAGGAAAAACGGACCTATCTGCAAAGGTCGCACGCATTTCGTCGGACCATGACACACCGCTCCAATTATTCATGGCACATGGGCACTCTACATCCGCATCCAAAGATGATTGGATAGTGGACTCTGGCGCATCTGCAAACATGACGTGTCAGCGGGAAATTTTCATCAAATATCGCACACTGAACCCACCCGGAAAAGTAATCATCGGAGATGGACGCTCGATAGATGCGATAGGTATCGGACGTGCTGAAATAAACGTCTATGTTGGTGAAAATGAGTACATCCACTCCATCCTGCAGGAAGTCTATCACATACCAGACCTGAATGCGAACCTTCTGTCAGTTCCGCGCCTCACGAAACAAGGTCTCGAAGTCACCTTTGATGGTTCCCAATGCAAGATCCTTGCAAAGGGAAAGACCGTCGCTCTCGCACATAAGCGAAACTCGCTATACGTCCTTCGAGTAAAGCCATGCGAGAAAGCACATGCATACATTCTGCAAGGACCATCAGCTCCACTCGATCCAGATGTCCCCATAACAGCTCTCACCTCGCGCATGCTCCATTCGAGTGCAACTCTGGACACATGGCATCGACGACTTGGGCACGTAAATTTCGACTCCATATCTAAGTTAATTTCGAAAGATATGGTCAATGGGATCAACATAAAGGGTTCAAGTACTCACAATAAGGCAGTGTGTCAGCCTTGCCTTGAAGGCAAGCAACACCGCAACCCAATCCCAACGAAATCAAATGTCGAAAGCCCAGGAGTCCTGTATCGCACATACTCTGATGTATGCGGACCCATGGAAACAGTGTCGCGCGCCGGCTTCCGATACTTCGTTACATTCATAGATGCCTATTCACACCATCTCGTGGTTAAACTTGTGAAGACCAAGGATGAAACATTCGCACTCACCAAAGGATACTTTGAACGTGCAGAGACCGAGACTGGAGAACGCCCCAACTATTTTCGTAGTGATGGTGGGGGGGAATATGGATCAAAACAATTTGTATCCTATCTCGAGTCAAAAGGCATCCATCACGAGAAAACAAACGCATACACACCACAAGAGAACGGTGTCGCAGAGCGGATGAATCGGACCTTAGTTGAAATGGCACGCAGCTTGCTACGAGACGCCGGACTGCCAAACACATATTGGGGAGATGCGATCCTATATTCGGCGCACATATTGAACCGGGTTCCAACTCGTGCGATAGATGGAGACATTACACCACATGAAGCGTTCACTGGGAACAAACCATCAGTATCCCATCTCCGGGTATTTGGGTGCAAAGCCCATGTACACATACCTGATGAAAAACGCCAGAAGCTCGGTGTGAAATCGCTCGAATGCGTCAACCTTGGGTATGCCGAACATCGAAAGGCCTATGTATGCCTGCATCGTCCAACCGGTCGCATCCTCGAGTCGCGAGACGTCGTCTTCGATGAAGGAGATCCGCAAGGGCCTAGTCGTGTCAAGATAGACACATTTCTCCCAGAGAAACAGGTCACTGCTGCAAAGCACAACACAGACGACCTGCAAGGCCTGGAAGCTCCTCATAAGTCAACAATTATAGAAGAATTATCAGACGATGACGCACCGGAAGTGGGAAATCCAGCTACCAAATCTCCCCACGAGGATGATGATGTCGATGGACAACCAGCTCCTCTAAGCATGGTCAAGTTCGAGCCTGAAGACCAGAACAAGGAAATGTCAGCACCGAACAACACGCGTGCGTTGGAGACACACCGTGTTCAACCACTAACCCCTTCAGCCACTCGACAAATAGCACCTCCTGCTCCATATCCTCGCCCAGCTCCTCCACCTGAAGTAAGGCGCAGCTCGCGAGCGCGACGCGCACCTATGCGAGACGATGATCCTCGCTACTTCATAAACGCCTATGAGAAGTCAACACTTCAAAGAGAGGAACCGGTTATACAAGACATACCTGAGGCAGTGGGCGCGATTGAGGCTGCGGAGACACATGGGGAGGCTTACAAGGCTACAGTAGCTTGTAATGGTGAGCCTGGGACGTTCCATGAAGCAATGAATCGTCCAGACGCAGATCTATGGTACACGGCAATGACTGAAGAATTGAAGATCTTCGAGAAGATTGGCCTATACGAGGAAGTCAAACGCCCTCGTGACCGCAAGGTTGTAGACTCGAAATGGGTCTATAAAATTAAGCGCGGCCCGCATGGCGAAATTGAACGCTATAAGGCCAGACTCGTCGCGAAAGGTTTCACGCAGGTCCAAGGGATCGACTACACAGACACCTTTGCCCCCGTCACGAAGTTCTCGACGATTCGAGTCCTTCTTGCCCTTGCAGCCAAGTACGATCTAGATATACATCAGATGGACGTCAAGTCAGCTTTTCTAAACGGTGAATTGGATGAGGAAATTTACCTGCAGCTCCCTCCTGGCTTTCGTGACTCGTCGAATCAAGTTTGGAAGCTCAAACGTGCTCTATACGGTCTTAAGCAGGCACACAAAGCATGGTACAAAAGACTACGTACCGTCTTCGAGTCTCTCGGCTTCACACGCAGCAATGCAGACCATTCTGTCTTCTACAAGGTCGAGAACGGCACAATCATTATAGTCGCCGTCTATGTTGACGACAAAATGATACTGTCAAAAGATAAGAAGATGATAGATGAGCTGAAGAAACGGTTAGCAGCAGAGTACGAGCTTACCGATTTGGGAGAAGCGCACTGGATTTTGGGAATGGAAATCATTCGCGACCGCGATAAACGCACGATCAAGCTGTCACAAAGCCGCTACATCGAATCGATACTCGAGCGTTTCGATATGGGATCCAGTCGTCCTGTGAATACGCCAATGGACCCTAATACCAAGCTCATCAAAGTGAATGAAGCCGAAGTCGATGTGAAGACTTACCAAAGTGCCCTAGGTGCACTGATGTATGCGATGCTTGCGACGCGTCCGGACATCGCGTTCGCAGTAGGTGCTCTGAGCAGATTTGCAGCTACCCCCGGACAAGCGCACTGGACCGCTCTAAAGCGTGTCTATCGGTATCTACGCGGGACCGTCAATAAATGTTTGACATATCAAGGGAAGTCAGAAACGGACTTACATGCGTTCGTCGACGCAGACTGGGCCTCAGATGTCAATGACCGGCGTTCGATAACCGGATATATATTTTCAATATCTGGAGGAGCAGTTAGTTGGAGTTCGAAGAAGCAAAGTTCAGTCGCACTTTCCAGTACCGAAGCAGAATATATGGCCGCCGCCGCTGCTACGAAGGAGGCCGTTTGGTTGAGGACCCTACTCAGAGAACTAAACTCCTCAGAAACTCCCCCAATAACTCTCCAAATCGACAATCAATCTGCAATTCTGTTAGCCGAAAATGCCATGTTTCACGAACGTACCAAACATATCGCGATCCGGTATCACTTTATCCGAGAAAAGTTGGAGGAAGGAGAGATATGCGTTGAGTATGTTCCCACGAACGAACAGATTGCCGACGTTTTGACGAAGGCACTTGCGCGCGAGAAGCATGGACGATTCATCGAAGGAATGGGAGTGTTGAACGGCGAGAGTTTGATTCGTTGAGTGGGCGTGTTGAAAGATTATAGATAAGTGATAACTTTGATTCGGACAACAACAAACAACACTCGCTTACATAATACGCTATGCGCTCATTAGAAGTTTTATATTACTTAGCACCTCAGTCTTCGACTATTGAGACTGAGGTATGATATTATTTATTTAGACTCTTTACTACGATACTG